CCGCCTCCCGCCGCAGTCCTCAACCAGGTCGGCTCCCGGGGAATATACCGCGGCTCCGCGGCGCTGGCGCCGTGCAGTGCGAGGCTGCGGACAGTGGTACCATGTCTGGCAGAGGCAAGGGCGGGAAGGGGCTCCGCAACGGGGGCGGCAAGCGCCACCGCCAGGGGGTGCGCAGGGCATCACCAAGCCGGCCATCCGCCGCCTGGCTCGGCGCGGCGGCGTGAAGCGCATCTCGGGGCTGATCTACGAGGAGACGCGCGGCGTGCTGAAGGTGTTTTTGGAGAACGTGATCCGCGACGCCGTCACCTACACCGAGCACGCCAAGAGGAAGACGGTGACGGCCATGGACGTGGTCTACGCCCTCAAGCGCCAGGGACGCACCCTCTACGGCTTCGGCGGCTAAGCTCGATTCCTGGGATAAGTTACGCTTTTAGAACACAAAGGCTCTTTTCAGAGCCACCCACAAATTTCACAACTAGAGCTGTTTATTACTGAATTTTATTACTGAATTTAAAAAGTTTTAAATACATGTTACATTGAAGCACCTTTGAGGCAGTAACAGTTTTAGAGTTTAAAAGCTGCTACAAAGTATAATCTCTCTAAACGTTCTGAAAAAAACGAGTACTGGAAAACACCCCGTATACTGAGATCAGATGCTTTAAATAATCTCGGTGAGTGTAAACTCAGTACAGCTTTTATTACATATTTAGGTAATTTTTTTTTGCTAGTGAAGGCAGCACTGCCATCACCGTAACTGCAAAGCACAACGATTGTGTAGATGCAGCGCTTAAGCTGTGACGGTTACAGGACGGAAGTGCCTGTAATTACGTTGGTATTTTTTACTCCAATAGGAATGGAACTATTACAATCCTCTAATTTGCATAACGCCCTTATAAATAGGGGGGGGCAGGCGCCATTTTCGATGTTGTTGAGGTACAGTGAAGATCTTGGAAAGAAACTTTTAAGGATGCCTGAGCCGGCGAAATCTGCTCCAGCACCGAAGAAAGGCTCCAAGAAAGCCGTCACCAAGACGCAGAAGAAGGGCGACAAGAAGCGAAAAAGAACAAGGAAGGAGA